TATCTGCACTAAAACCTAAGTTTTCTGGAGTTATCTGCAGTAAAACCATAGTTTTCTAGAGTTATGTGCAGTAAATCCTAAGTTTTCTGGAGTTATGTGCAGTAAATCCTAAGTTTTCTGGAGTCATGTGCAGCAAAACCTAAGTTTTGTGGAGTTATCTGCACTAAAACCTAAGTTTTCTGGAGTTATCTGCAGTAAAACCTAAGTTTTCTGGAGTTATGTGCACTAAAACCTAACAGTGAGTTACCCGCAGACACAGAACGTTGTGTTATTGTGTGAAGATGCTGCAGCAGTAATTTAACAGCACTGACAGGAAACTGTTCATGTAAATTCTGAGTAAATCCGGTTTAGTTTTTAGGGTGTTTGATCCATAATCTCTAAGGTTCGAGAAATTCTGCTTGTTCTCATGTTCTCATCTTACTGTTTCAATAAAACAGGAAGAATAAATGGACTGTGGGGACCCTGTGATGACATCACCATGTAAAGCTAATAGGTATGGATGTTGTCCAGGTGCATTGTGGGAAACGTAGGCTACAGAGAGGTGCACACATGGAACTAAAGGTTTATTAGAAGACAAGCAGCTCTGTCCTGCAGTAGCTCAGCTGCCGATCACTTTATTTATTGATCGCTGTCAGAACTTTATTGATCCGGTCTGAACCAAACCAGGGGCTGGCCCAGTTTACAGGGTGGATGTCTTTATTCAGCACAGATACACGGCTCAACAGGCACATAATAAACAACAGCACAGTAACGAGCAGAAGGCAGCGCCCCCATGTGGCCTGAGAGCCTGAACTACAGAGAATGGGAGATTTAAACCTGGCTTCTCTAACGGCCTCCTTGTGAGCCTGGAACATCTTCACGTTGTTCATGTTGGACTGCCAGTACTTCACGTAGCCGCCGTGGTCCGCAGTCAGCATCCACATGTCGTTATGAGACCAGGTCATTGCCCGGACCGGACTGTCGTGGGCCTGAAGGGAACAAGAAGGTCAGAACTGAAGTCGTATTTCGTCTGGTCTCATGGAAACATGTGAGAGTCAGTCTACAGGGTTTCAGACCTTTACAATGCCACATTGAATGAAGTTTAAGAGTGATAAAACTACAAGTGATGGTTGGTGATTCTGCTGTATCACAAGCAAGCATCATGTAGATACCCAGCTCTCTGGGTCAGTGTGTTGTACAAGTGCAGTTGTTTGGTTGGAAACATCCAACAAAAATACATCTGATTATATTCATGGTATAACTGTCCATAAACTGAGCCTTAACCTGCAGCATCACAACCGTCTGAAGGAACAGAGGAGCTTCAGCTTTTCTCTACTTGACTTTTACCACTGCTCATTTAATAACATTTATTTCTCATTTGGTCATGAGTTACATTTATCACAGTAGTTAGCTCTCAGCATCCAAACAGACACAACACTTGGTTATTGTTAAAGCTTCATGCAGAATTAACTTATTCTTAGTGAGTTTGAGGGAAAATTTAAATTAAACAGAGAGAAACGTCTCTGCTGTGATCTGGAGTCTACAAATATTCATCTTTCAGCGTTAATATTGTTTAATAAGAACTAAAGCAGCACTGAGGCTCAGGCTGAGCTCCGCCTCCTCCTGCAGCAAGAATGGTGAGAGTTGTATGTTTAATAACTACACACCAATATCATTGTTGCCACAATTTTCAAAAATGTTGGATCAACTATTTGTGACCAGATTAGATCAGTTTATTGATAAACAATATAATCTAAATAACAGTCAAAATGGATTCAGAAAAAATAATTTCACATCAATGAATCTTATGGAAGTCATTGAACAAACAACTGCTGTTGATCAAAAACAGTATTGTATTAACATTTTTGTTGATTTAAAGAAATCATTTTGACACCACTGACCACACTGAAAAGCTGAATAAATGTGGGATCTGAGGTCCAGCACTACACTGGCTCTCTGGTGATTTGACAAACAGGAAACAGTTTGTACAAATAAATGATGTAAAACCTGAACTCTATGATATTATATGTGGTGTGCCTCAGGGTTCTGTACTTGGCCTAAAAGTATTTATGTTATATTTAAATGATTTGGTAAATGTATCAGGGTTTTTCAAGTGTGTTTTGTTTGCAGATGACACTAATTTCTTTTGTTTGGGAAAAGATATAGAACGACTGTTAAAGATGATGCAGACAGAATTTATGAAGATACAAAATTGATTTCAACTAAATAAATTATCATTAAATCTGGATAAAACAAATTACAAGATATTTAGTAATAAAAAGAAAAGTGTTGAAGTTCCATTTAGAGTTAATGATGTTCTGTAGAGTCAGTGAAGTGAAGTTTGTGGAGTCATCACTGATAAAAGATGACATGGAGACCTCATGTGAATTATTTAAGAACAAAAGTAGATAAATCTATTGCATTACTATGTAAAGTGAGGGAGTTGTTTAATGGTAAAGCTTGGTATTTGTTGTATAATGTAATGATTGTTGCACATTTGATTTACTGTGATGAAGTCTGGGGGAAAGATGTAAAACAATTATAAATCCTGTTTTTATTTTGCAGAAAAGAGCTGTAAGAATTATCACAAAAAACATGATTACCCAACAAATACATTATTTTGTCAGTTGAAATTATTGAAACTCAATGAGTTGGTTGATTACAACATTTTGCAGATTATGTATAAGGCTCATAAAAATATATTACCTTTGAACATCAGGTTAAGGTTTGTTAAGAGGCAAAGTTAGTACAGTTTAAAAAGGACAGAGGTGTTTGTGAAACTAAAATCTGAACTAGTTTGAAGGAACGATTCAGTGTAAGGAATAAAACTGTGCAATAATCTGGAGAATGATATTAAAAGTGCAGGATCAGTGTGTAAGTTTAAGAGAACGTAAAATCCACTGTTGAAGAA